GGTGACAGTAATACAGAGCATTTGCGCTGCAGGCTATACAATCCCTCCCTTCATTATCTACAAAGGGCGCGTCCACATCTCTGCGTGGTATGAAGAGGCTGATATCCCTTCAGATTGGAAAATCTCGGTCTCTGAGAACGGCTGGACTAATAACGACCTTGGTCTGGAGTGGTTGAAGCATTTTGATACGCATACACGGACGCGTCAAGTAGCAGGGTATAGGCTACTCATTCTCGACGGCCATGAGAGCCATTTGAATCAAGCATTCAAGGACTATTGCCTCGAGAACAAGATCCTCACTCTGTGTATGCCTTCACATTCGTCTCACATCCTTCAGCCTCTCGACGTAGTGTGTTTCTCACCGCTAAAGAGCAAGTACTCTGAGCGTGTCAGAGGCTTGGCACGAAATCGCGTCTTTCATATCAACAAAGAGAACTTCCTTCCAGCCTTTAAGGACGCGTTTTTCGACGTGTTTACGAAAGAGAACTGTCGAAAGGCCTTTGAGGCAACAGCGATAGTCCGTACGGACGCGCAAACAGTCATTGATCGTCTTGATCTACGTTTGCACACCCCTCCTCAACAGCTATCACCGGAAGCAGCATGGGAGTCCCGAACACCGAGCAATTCGCATGAGTTTGGATCTCAATCCAAGCTTATTAGCCGCTCTTTCCTTAGGTCTCCGCCCGAAGCTAAAGAAGGGTTCTCACAATTAGTTAAAGGTGCTGAATTGATGCTCCATCAGAACGTGCTCCAATCTGCACGGATTACAGAGCTTGAAGAGCAATTAGCAGTCTTGACTAAGAGAAGATCGCGTAAACGGAAGCAGATCCAGCAAGGTGGATCTATAGAGTATGGTATTGGAGCATCACAGGCAATCGCACAGGCGGGGATAGGGGCTCAACGATCAAAAAGGACTTGTAATGAAGCTGAGTCTGAACGAGGACCTCCAACTCAACGACGATGTAGAAACTGCGGAATAGCTGGACACAACTCACGAACTTGCCAGACAGATAGAGATGCTCCTTCTGAACCATATCCTAGCATAGCAGATGTATAACTAAGTATGTCGTTGAATAAACAACGGTTGTAGTCACCTCAGTTGTAATGCTAAGACAAAATGTCGCGTTCGGTGATTTGGCCCGCTCGGTGATAGATTACGTTATGGATACCTTTGAAACTTTTGAATATACATAAACGCCTCAACCCCCATCCCTGCCCAACGGAACACCTACGTGCCGGAACACAGAATTCGACCTATTACACTTTATGGCAGGATATCTTTCTTCACAGACGGGCAAGTCTTTCGCAGATGGCGCGAGCACGTTCTCCTTATCAATTTCTATCATAATAGTCGTTCTCACGATCTCGCAGTGTCAGCTTCGCATGATGTTGAATGACCACGGCGGCTGCACCATCGGCATATAGTAAGAGACAGAGCAGTCTTCGTCTTTTCGTATCTGCACGACGGCAATGAGCGCTGTATAGATCTCAAGCGATAGATCTGTCCCGGGTCACGCAGGACTTCATCATCTCAAATATGCAATGACAAAGAATGTTGGTTAACTTACTTTGCAAGGATATTCCATGATTCTGTCTATCAACGCCAAGACTTTAAGCCATGCAGGTCCGCAGATCACATCCGCAGTAGCCGACACGACACATGCTAACGAGTCATGCTGTAAGTTGAGGCCGCACGTGACTCGCGCAACGTGCGCAACTATTGAACCGAACGTACTATAGTACAGTTCTCGGAGAGTCGGCCGAGATATACACCTTTAGCAGCTACAACGTAACGCAAATGAAGAAGTACTGCCTGAGACAGAAGACCCTGTCACAGAACATGCCCACAATTCTTCGCTGCACGTTCTGTACTCATAGTTGCAAAGGCCCTTCGATCGCCGCTACTGAACGTGGAATCTTGCTTCCAGTTTGCCGTCTTTGAACGTCATACCTATGCTATATACTCGAGCGTAAGGCGCGTCAGTCTACGCTACGCGCTGTCTTGACATTGACAGGTGCCGATCGTCTAAGCTGCATCGACTGGATGTGTTCTAGATTCGCGACGGCATCTAGCGTGTGAGGGTGGTCGCTGCCGTAAATCTTAATGTATCCATCTGTCGCTTGTAATTGTATATCGGCCGCCTCGTCCCATCGGTCCTGCTTCATATACGTCGACGCCAGGTTGGCCATGCTCGTCAGCGTGTCGGGATGCTCCGCCCCGAGCACCCTCGTGCTCGTCTCCATCACCCGCACAAACAGCTGCTCCGCCTCGCCCCACCGCCCCTGGTTCCGGTATGTCGCCGCCAGGTTGGCCATGCTCG